AATGTTCTCGCAATATCGAACAGACACGTAGTTCTAAATCCTTTAATAAATCTATTCGAAGGTGTTGAGCTCTGGTCTTAGCGTTGAGCTATGACGGATATTTGTCGTTAACACTACTGCGAGTTTTTTTTTTATTATTATTTATTTGATATATTTATTATATTTTATTATTATATATATATATTATAAATTGATTATGTAATTAGTTACACGTGGTTTTTTATTTTGAGCGATATATTGGTTTCCTTGGATTGACTTTTATCTTGGTGACATTTTCCTGAAATAATTCAACGTTAGAAATTAAAAATTGTTATTAAATACTCACTTATCCTGGAGATTGAAGAGTATTTAAGAGTATTATTATTTTATAGTAATTAATAAGTCTTCTTTATATAACAGTTCTTCTTGTGTAAATACTGATTAATGTAATCACTTCCATTTGTTCAGCTCTGAGGAGAAATGTCTGAGCCTTTTTTCTCTAGCTATCCGGCTCGAAGTACCAAAAAATGTACAAAATGTATTCGCCGTTCCAATTTGTTTTACCAAGACCGGTTCGAAGGATACAAATTGATGCCATTGACAACTCAGAGATCACGGATGTTGTGTGATAGCAATAAAAGGTCAAAGTGGAAGGGATATTATAATAATTTAATGTAAATATATCTGGTGGTTATGCTGTTTTTTCTGTTATTTATACGATTACAAGGCGTTGACTAGTATTACTATTATCAATCATTGAAACTCTTGTGGTAAATGATTGTGTTTCCTGTGGCAAACGTACACTCATGTAATGCAGCGTGATGTTTGAATATGAGTGCAGAATCGCGCGAAGTTTGATTCGTCGACAGTCGTGCTGTTCGTGTGAGCACGTGCGTAATTGAGGTTATAGTTGTAATGTAGCGCGACATATGTAACTGTTGTTAATTGAAAATACACTCGGGTAGTAGCGTACTGCAATAGTTATTCAGTTGGAAGTAAGAGCTTGAAAGGCTTTTACCTCGTGAAGGATACTGCTACGTGTTGCGTCTTGTATGAGCGTTGAATGGCACGCTGAGTAGATTCATAAGCGTCAGACATTGAACTTATGTGAGGATAGGCCGGCAAGACTCGTATCAGCTGGCGCGAACTTGGCGACTTTTGAATTATTCTGCATTGTCTCTCTGAAAAGAGCCTCAATTCCTTATGTTGCTTGTCGATGACTTAAGCTCTGAATCTTAAATGTTAATTGATTATGGTAGTTGATACTACTTACGAAGACTAATAGTAAACTCATTATAGGGATTATCCACGTCCTTCTTAACGAGGACTGCCACTGGACACTTGTTTTCGGACTCCGAATAGGGAATATGTCTCCTGTCATTTAGGACTTGCAACAACCGTTGTCTTGAACTACGTTAAAGGAGACTTTCCACTTCCTATTTGACTAAGGACTTTATTAAGAGTGTTTGAATATTGAAAATATGCCTCTTAAATACATTTGCTGGTCATGAACTGCATTTGAATCCCTTCCTTTATTTTCTGTCCAATCAGAGTATTCCTCACTTACAGAGCGACGGCAGCACCTCTAGTAGCTTCATAGTTAATTGAAGGCGTTGACGTCTCTTAGTCTTCACGGCAGGAAGAGCTCTCGTTGCCTCTGACGCATCTGGCGACAGTAAGACAGCTTGTTGACAGAGGGAAGGGGTGGGCCAGTACATACCGCTTTGAATTTAGTTACCAAACGGAGCGAATCAGTACAGATGCCGAATGAGTTGGGTTTTCCCGAATTTATTATCTTGTTTTGCCAGATGTTTTATGACACTATTACTAGATGGTTGTGAGCAAGAAATTTCCGAAATATAAAACGACAAATTTACGATGTTGTTTTGCCAGATATTTTATTTGTAAGGACTGTTTTTACAATCTCGAATAAACATATATGTGAATTTCTTATATTTTGTGAAGAACCTCGCAACTTACTTTATCGTAGATTTAAGTTAGTATCTTCCATTATCACTTTAAAGATTTCTGCATTGAAAATAGTTAAATTAATAATTAGAATTTTAATTAGTCAATCTGCAGAAATACCAATTAAGTATACCTCACACTTGTCATGTTTTCATTTTCATTTACTATTATCGTATACTTTATGATAGTATCATTTTGCTTAAATTTAGTGAGCTGATATATTCATAATGTATGACATAGGCATTGATACATAGTGTTATCGATTAAAGTTATTTCATTATTAAATTCCTTCATCTAGTATCTGATTATTGATATTGCTGCGTGACATCACTTAGTGAACATTTTATTTGCTTCTTCGCAGAAGGTTGTTACAAGTCATTTCTTTGCAAACTTATCTTTCTCTTGAATTTATCTTTTCATGATTCATTAGCCATATTGAATAATTGTATTATTCGAATTAGACATCTGAAAATTCAAGGCTATTTCAGAAAACTGCTTAATAAATTATTTGGAACTTTCAAAAACATTATAAACGTTAATTAGCATCTCAAATATTCTAGATTCTCTATATTCTGTTATACAACTTGCTCTTGCTTTTAGCAAAAATGGTTCCAGACTGCTTCGCTCTTAAAGAATTGTTCATATATCTTTATATCTAAAATTTAACATTTTAATTGTATTATATAAATCAAAAATAATCTTTAAAATTATTTTTTGTGCAGAAATCCATATAATTTAATTTCCATTCTTATGTAATAAGAAAATTATTTAAAATTATATCCCTTTATCTAGTTGAATATAACAAAAAACTTTTACAATTACTAAAGGTTTAGTTCTTATAGTATTTATAGTGTACCTGAAAATGATGTAGTCACTTTGCTAAGCACTTTCTTATATTATATTATGTATTTTGAAACTCAGATATACAATAAATTTAGAAAATCATTGATCTCTGCAGTCCACAAAATCAATTATCTTATTTTATAATCAAAGGTACTACCTCAATTACACATAGCTGCGAATATCAGATTTTTATTTGTCATCTTTTTCTAGCTCAATCTCTTCCTTTATAGATTGATTAGTTTGGTCTTAAGAACTAATGATGTTAAGATAACAGGAGTACAGTTCTACCAGACTGACTACACTCTGTGTTAGTTTTTATTATTAAAATGTTACCCAATATTCAAAATTATAAAAAATATATAAACTGCTAAAAAACTTGTACAATTTTAAAATAAATTTCAATTCATTCTAATTCACTATCAAAGCAATCCATTTGAAAATTTTTGATTGGTTTTGAAACTTCTACACTTCATTTAATGGATATTCAAGCTTCCCTAATATCAATACTTCAGATTAAGAAACTCGTGTACTAGTTAAATCATACGAGACTGTAAATTAGTTATACAATAACAATGTTTTATGAAAAGTAAATGTCTATACATTAACTAGTTATATAATCGTTCATAAAATAGTATATATTCATTAAAGAAATAATTATTATTACACTAAATATAAATATAAAGAACTTGGTTTTACAATTATTAATTTATTTTACATTAATTTTATAAAAATTATTTTATACCTATTTAACATATTTTAACAGAGTATAATGACCTAGTTACCAAAATAATGCAAGTAAGTATAAGAATAAAGAAAAAGTATGAAAGCAATATAAAGAGAAATCGTAAGCAATCATGTCAAAGAAAAAGAAGAGTGAATAAGTAAAATCTCTCAATGGCTTGTTGCATCAAATTTACACACATTGGTCAGTAATATATTTAATACAGTGGTACAATATTACCTTATTATTGAGTTCGACACAAATTCTTAGCATAAATATATTTGCATGTGCACTCAAATAAATTGTTTATGTATAGCAAGTAAGGCAGAAATATAACATATGTGTAGCTGTTATTATTAACTATTATAGATGACACTATGTATTATAACAGCACTGGCTGTGATAATACACCTCTCCCCCCACCATATAAAAATAATAAAACATCTTGTTACAACATTGGAAAGAAAATGTTTTAATCATCCCTGTTCTTAGTATATCTAGTCAAAACATTATGAAAATCTATAAATTTATTTAATATCAATTAATGAAAATATTTCATTAATAATTAAAAAATATATAATATTATACATTCCACCTCAATAAATATGTTGTTTTTCTATTTTTACCAATTATGAAATACATCAAAAAGCAGAACTCATAATAAAAATTCCGTTTAATTGCCATCAAATTCATAGATGAATTTAAAGTCCACAAAGTACATTAATCACATATAATGTATAACGTTATTAAGTTCTGTTAAGTAATTCTTTTATATTTTAGTAGCCAGTATTATCACAATACATTTTGAAACTCAATAAGTTACAAATAAATATATACAAAATCTAATAACCTAATACATATAATACTTTAAAATATGTAATTGAAAGATGAGATATTTTGCTATGCAGATATTCTAAAGAAATCTGCAAGGCAGTAGAAAAATAGATGTAATACTGAATTATAACAAATGTGAAGGTATTAGATAAGAATTCAGGTATATTTACTTTTTCATTACCAATCATATGTAGATATAGATATACTTTGTTTATAGATATACTATGTTTGTTCATGTTCTAACGTTGTTTTTATATATCCAACTATTCTATTCCAACTTCAAAATATTTTTTTATTTTAATATTAAATTTATTACACTTAATTAACAAAATTACTTAATAAATGAAATTATTTAGATTTAAAAGAAATTTATTTTGAATTTATTTGTACTCACATTGTACAATAACATTCTGTATTAAATTTTTCAGTTATATTTTTTATAAATAATTAAATTCTATATTAATTTTATCTTCTGTTAAACAATTATATTTTGAAATCGAAGTCAAAAATAAAAAAAATTATGAAAATTTAATATAACTATTAATTTACCATGATAAACATCATAAAATAAAAATATTCACATTTTATATAAAAAAATTATATATTATTAAAAAATAGGATTAAAATAATATAATCATCTTTAAACAATATACACCTTCAAATTAATCTCTTGCAAATAATAATAAAACTCTAATGGATTGTCAATAAAATATTTTTTTGAACTTGCAGAATCAATTAAATTTCTCCAAGCAATTAATCTTTGTGATAATATGGTTCCTCGAGCTTCAAATCCCTAAAAATAGTACAATAATAATTTTCAAAATATAAATGAACTTATGAATTGAATGAAAAACATTGAACAGTTACTAGTTGTGGATCAGAAAAATCTGGAAATCTCTTGACACTTAGAGGAACAATAAGAGATATTGAAGATAGTACAAAAATTAATATAAGTACAATATAAGGATGATGAGAAAGAAAACGTGAGTACCATAAGAATCCCATTTTATTTAATTTTAATTTATCAAAAATCACATTTAGTCAGATTCAAGATACTTTAAATATCAAAAACTATAATTATATATATAAAATAAGAAACAGAAAAATAACTTTAGAAATAGGAATTAGATCGTTTAGATTCGGAAAATTTAACTGTAATTGGTTAACCTTAATACCAGTACTACCAATTTTTTTCAAGATTTTGCCGATTACGAAATTAAGGAACCCACTATAAAAATTCGAGTTAAATTTTTGTTTTGTGTTAAATTCATATTAAATTTCCCCTACAAAAGAGTAAATTTTAATAAGAGAATCTAATGAATAAAAAGATAAATTCTAACACGCAATTTTCATTTTGGTATAAACAAATAATACGTTATAAAGCAATCACAACTTAGTAACTAATAAAATTAAAATCTGTAATCTATATTTTGTGATATTAAAAAAGCATCTAAAAATTTTTGGAAGAGAATTATTTTTTTAATAAATGCATACAAACAATTATATTTATATTAAATATTACATTGATATAAACATTGGCACGTGTTAAAAAAGGAATTAAATTACTTGAATTATTTAATTTATAATTAATTTATTTATTGTTTATATATTAAAAATTTAATTATACTAAGTAAGTTATAACTTTTTTAGAAATATAAGAATACTTAAATTATAACATAATAAACTAATTTATACAGTATATAATAATATTATATATCATTAATTTATATTCATATAATTCTATACATAATATATTTCAAATCGTAATCATTGATATTTTCTAATCCATTAATATTTGAAAATATTTTATGATAATTGCATGGAAACCTTTTCGTCGCATGCGTAGCAGATATGAATAATATAAATGAATAAATCAAAATCAATTTGATAAAATATATAATACATTCAACTATTAATACTCTATTCATATGAATTACCAATAACTGCTTCATTCCCTTCTATTTTCACTTTGTAATACTTTATAATACATGTAGTATTTTTATTGCAAGTAAATACATTCAAATACCATTCAATAGAAATGTAGAATGCTGTTAATGAATAGAAATTAAAAAATGATTAATAAAAAAGTTGATTTGTACATAAAAATATAAATGGAAAATATAAATGAAATTTATTCCTTTAAATATTAATGAATTTATTAAATTTGAAAACATTAGTACTATTTTGTGCATGCCTAATATGTTATGTATATTTATTTTAAAAAATGTATAGAATTTAAAAGGAAAGCTATGTTAAATTTTTCAAGAAATAAAATTAGAAATTCAATATTATTTATTGATAAGCTATTTACTTTGAATATTTGTGAGTTAAATTCTTATAAAATAGTTTAATTAATACATACGACATTATAAATATTGATAAGATTATTTTTAAATTATTTTAATAAAGCTTTAAGTTCCAAGAAAATTGTGGTGACTGATATCGACAATTTTAAAAATTAAAGAAATCTTGTATTAATTACTTATTTAAAAAAAAAATTGTATATCGTTACAACTGTTTTTGCGTTATGTCCGGTAATTGTATAAAAATGCATTCATTGAGAAATTTTTATTAAAATTTGTATAAGCTAATACAAGACCATGTTATGTAAATATAAATTTTATGTTATATCAAAATATTTACTTGTTAGACAAAAATTAATTGTATAAATACGAAAATTTAAGTAAAAAATATTATTAAATTATTATTAAAAATAAAGTAAGAAGTAAAATTTGATATTTATAAATTGGAAATTAACTGCATAAATTTGATATATTTAAGATGAATATAACATAAATGCTTTAAAATATTTATTGAATATCTCGTCAATGTTTAAATCATATAAAAAATAGTTTAATATAGACAGAGCGAAATTTAAAAATTTCATTTTTTAAATTTTGTATTCTGAAAATAAAATATATGATAATTTATTAAATTGCTAAATTATTAATTTATAAAATTCCTATATGATGTAATACAGTAAAAATTAGAAACTATTGAATGGCTTAAACGAGAGCAAGCCATAGATAAAAAAATTAATCTTATTTTTTATTGTAACGCAAATCCTAATTAAAATGGAAAGAATTCAGTCAAATCTATTTACAAGATATATATTTTTTTTAGATTTTATATTCCGGAAATCTGTGAAAATAGAATATAATATAATTTAACAGTTAACATCCTCAATTCATGAATTTTAAGTTTTAAATTTTCTTTTTTTTTAAAACATAATTACACAATGCACTACATAAACATGACCATTGATTTTTATGAATTACTAGAAAACAAAATATGCACGCAATTTCATATAATTAACACAAATGAAAATATCCAAGTATATAAATGGTATTAAATCTCGATGATTAAAATCATGCATGGCAACGTTGTTTGAAAGTATATTTAAAAATTTTGTAAAGAACAAGGTTTTTTAATTTATCAATTAATAGATATGTATCAACATTTCAGTTAAATAAAACATTTTGGAAAATATATGTACTCATTTTACGTCAATAATATACTGATTCATATTTCTGATTTAGAGAAAATTATAAAGGTTATTGATAAAAAATCAAAGATGTTACATTGAAAAGAAATATAAAATTTTTTTAATAATTTAATTTAAAGTCAAATTTTCATTCTTCTATAAGGCATTTATTAAACTAAAATTATAAATAAATTAGATAATTGAATACTCACGATGTTGCATTTACCTTATCTAATTTGACACTCATTTATAGTCTATAATTGGATATTCAATGGATTTTCAATAATACAGTTAATATGAAATATAAGGAAATTTCAACAATATAATTGATTTTCTGTTGTAAAGATATTTCTTTAGATAGCGAACAAATTTCTATGGTCAGTTTCAATGTTTACACATTTATACACGTAGGACGTTTTATTATTTTCTTTATATCATCATGATACATAAATTGTACTTCTAAAATCTGTTTCTAAACTCTTTATAATTCACATGACTATAAATTACATTTTTTATTTCATTTGTATAAATAAATTTGTAACTAAAATTAATAATTAATAATAATAATAAATAATTCACCGAATAAAAATATATTGTCTGAGATCAGACTAAAAACGCTTCCCTGAGATGGTGAAGAAAGGCTTGCTGGCAAGTGGAATGGACAATGCAATAATTCAATACTGCCTTTATACGAGTTGATTTTTCCTTTTATTGAATATAATAAATAATGAATAGTTAATATCTATGAATATCGAATAAGTGTATGATAGAATAAATAAATGAGAGTTTCTTCAGGTAATATGAGTGATGATATTTTTATAAGTGTATTCTTGTGGTATGGTGCGTGATTGACGCCACCGATTGCCGCTACCGATAGACTGGAGAGACCTGGGTGGTGACGTTGGTATGTAACGTTACTGGTAAGGAGAATTGATGCCGCCGTTGCCGCAACCGATGAGCTGGAGAGGCCTGTGTGGGGCGCTGGTGTATGACGTCACTGTTGAGGAGAATTGATGTCGCCGTTGCCGCTACCGATGAGTTGGAGAGGCTTGAGTGGGGCGCTGGTGTATGACGTAACTGATGAGGAGAATTGATGTCGCCGTTGCCGCTACCGATGAGCTGGAGAAGCCTGAGTAGGGCGCTGGTGTATGACGTCACTGATGAATGACAATGATGCCTTGGTTTTGGTATTGCTGCTTACTTAGTTCACGGAGTCCAGTTTTAATGATTCGTAAGAACGTGCTTGGAGTCAATCTCAGTTGTATTGATGGTACATAAGGACGTGTGTAATAGCGTAGCTTACGTGTGTGGAGTCGATTTTAGTTGTATTGAATGTGACCTCTTTATAAGTAGCATTTGACTTATAAGAAAACGATTGTGTGAATTTAAGTCAATCTCTGTATAAATGGCGTTAACTTGTAGAACAATAATTTGATCTTCATGATTGCTTGATTCAACTAGCAAGAGGATGAGACCGTTATGTGCAACTCCTTAAATATTCTTGTATAAAACAGCTGCGTTGAAATTGTATAGGTGATCGTTGCTATGGCGATATTTGTCGTGACGTAAAGAGGGCATAGCCTCGTAGAGTTCATTTGTTATTACTTTTGAAATTATAGTAGTATATTCGAGTTTTTCTGTTATAGTATTCTTGAATTCGTTAGTCAGTTTTTACAAAACAAATGCTCGCGCGCTCATACCTCTCCCACTTTTTATTTTGCTTAGAAATTACTGCAATCCGTAACATACATATTATTAATTTTTAATTGGATTAAATTAAATTTAAAATTATATTTCTTTTGCATTTACATCTTATTACGAAATTGTGTTTAAAAATATGTAAGATTCATTGTTTCATATATAATTAGAACGAAATATAATGATGAAATTATAATAAATCTTATAATTAATATTGAAATGTTATCGATTTATTGTATTCATTTAAAACATAATATTTTCTATTCTTCAGCATTCGTTTTACTTCCATTTTATAATAAACAATGACTAAAAATGTCAAACCAAAATATCGATGTATTTAAATATAACTTCTTTATTTTTTGTATATATTTTTAAAAAGTGTAAATAAAAATTTTAATAAGTAATATAATAAAAAACTTTAACATGAAATATATAATATTTATAAATATATTTTGATATTTTGAAACAAATAATTAAGCAATTGTAATTTTATGGTTTAGATTCAAGAATAATATTACTATACTAAATATTACTGCTTAAAATATTTAGAAAATTTTTTATGAATAATACAATATTATTATTATACAAAAGATACAATATTGATACTTATAGTTATTTCATATTGTTCAAGAATGTAAGAAAACTCCCAGCTCATTAAACATCTGGAAAAATCGAGATAAGAGTTCCGAAAAGGGTAACTCTCGGCTACGCGAGTAATAACATTCAAAAACGCGCCTCGGATTAACTAAATCTAAGCAATTCAGCAAAATTTCGAATATCTTAAGAAAATAAACTTCATAAACACATCTGGCGAGAACAAGGCTCCAAGTGTCAAGCACAACAAGTCATAAAACTAATGCTACGAGACATTTGACACGGCCTCGCCATAAAGCATCTATCGACGACAAATTATATAACATCTGGCGTACACAAATCATAAAATTAGCTTGAAAAACACAAGCCAGATGGTACATTCAAAAACAATGCTACACCTAACCTTCACAACACTGACCGATCGCAACGCGGATGATTATAAGAAATGCATGCAACAATACTAGGATGGAGAGGGAAAAGCGTGGTATCACGACCCCCCATCATGGAAGGGAGTTGAGCAAGACCCGCTCTCATTGGAGCCTCCA